TGGGGCCCCCCCCCCCCCTTGCTCCTGCTAATGGGAGCCAAAGCTGGTGTGGGGACAGAAATACAATTAGCACCACAGGCAGCCCAACTCCAGGCCAGCAAGCGGTCCTGCCCCAGAAGCACCTGGGGCCAGGGCTGTGGGGACTTCTGGGGCCTTACCACAGACTCCAGCCCCGGAAACTGGAAGGCAGAAGGTGAGAGAGGGGCAGGGGGGAAACTAGGGGAAAGGGGGAATGGGAGAGGAAGGGTTGTGTGCTGGGTGGAGGAGGGCTGGGCAGGAGAAGAAAGGGGAAGGCACCAAGGGACGGGCTGGAGGAGAGACAAATGCCAGGGGGCCAAGTGGAGACCATGAGAAAAAGATCAGGAGGGGGGGAAAGGAGGTGTCAGTGGGGGTGGGAGGGTGGAGGGGACAGGGTGATGCTGGGAGAGGGGAGGAGCACTGGGGCAAGAGTGGGGAGGTACTGGGAGAAGGGTTGAAAGGAAGGATGGGTATAAGGAAAGCAGGGATGGAGCAAGTCATGTGTGAAGGCACAGAGGGGCCTGAGGGGAACTGGGGCAGGTGGTAAGGGGAGGGGCATCAAGGAAAAAGAGGGCAAGGGGGCAGGGGCAGTGAGAGAAAGCACCAGGAAGGGTCAGGGGGAAGATGCAGGTGCCAGGGGATTCTGGAGATGAAGCAGAAAGGCAGACATGTGGAGGGGAGGGACCAGAAACAGAGGAGAGAGGCAGGGCAGGTGTGTAGAGGGAGGTGTTACAAGAGGGGATGAGGAGGGGTAGTTATCATGATCAGACTGGAGCTACTGGCTGACTGCTATGTTGGTGTCTTTCTGTATTGACGCTAAAAGTAGAAGATCTCTTTCTAGACTGGAGTATGGCTAGATTCAAATATCCATTGCTTTCACTTGAGCTCAACACCTACAAGGGTTCATCTTGGTAGTATCTTCAGCTACACTGACAGCTTACTGTCTGTAGTAACTTTACTATCTGCAATTAAAGGCTCCTTTAAAAAATGCTATACAAAGAGTAAATCATATCGGTAACACAACAAAGCAAAATAGAAGGGGTATAGCTGCATTCCTGAGTGTGACCACACTTTGGTTTTATGGCCCAGAAGGTGTCTTCCTCTGACAGTTATTACTTTCCATATGACAGAAGGCATACCTATTTATCTAGGAACAACGAGAAGTCCTATGGCACTTTAGACTAACAATCTATAGAATTATGAGCTTTCATGGAAGTGGGCTTTATCCATGAAAGCTCATTATACTGTATATTTTTGTTAGTCTCTATGATTCCATAGGACGTCTACTTGTTAGTCTGTAACTTTAAAAATGGCTAGTCCTCTGAGACCTGTTTATGTAGTAGTGTATGCGATCATAGGTGCAGGCAAGCTTGTAATTTAATGTTTCATCAGTACTGAGGTCTTCTGCTGCATCTGGTCACTAACTTTACTTTGTTCTTTTAACAGTAGAATTAAGAAAAAAATTTCTCCGTTTGTCATGTCATTTGGATTCAGGTATGTGTGGATGTATACATAACATATATGCAGACATGGATATTGAAAGGAGATGTGCATAAAGTAGAGCAAACTGTCTAGTCAGCTTGCTGCAAAATAGTAACTTCGCTCTGCAGAGGAACTAAGACAGCAGTTCAGAAGTCATTTTTTTCCCCCCCAGAATGCATTGATGAGCTTCTATAACTCACTTTTAGTGCGTGTGTGTGTGTGGGGGGGGTCTAATGTACAGAAACTGCTTCAGGTCTCTTGGAGTTTGTAGAGACAATTTTAGAAAACCTTGTAGATGATGGAAATGTAAGCAAAAAACATTTTATTGTTTTTCTGTATGGTGTGGAGGCAAATTCCTCACCTGGACTAGAGGTGGTCATTGGCAATGCATGTTTCTAGCAGCTAATCTGTATTGAAATAGCAAAAAATATATTGTTACAGTGCTGACTAGTATTGCCACACAACTTGTCCTTTCATCCTGGCATGAATTAAATGTACGGCTGTCAAGCAATTAAAAAAATGAATCGCATGCGCTGCCCTTTGGAAAGGCCATTTCTGGACTGGTGCTTCAAAGGGGCAGCATGTAACAGAGCATGGGGACTCCAGCTGACCCTAAGCTCCTAACGCACTGCCCCTTTGAGGCACCGGAGCAGTGCTTCAAAGGGGCAACACAGCATTAACACCTGCCATAACGCGTTAAATTTTTTAATGCGTTAATCCTTCCCTGCATTAATTGCAGGTATTAATGCACATCAGTTGACAGCCCTAGTTAAATTGCAGTAGAGCATCTGACCATGTGCTCTTGGCAGCTATAGTATGAACAAGGGTTTGTGTAGCTTCTGGTGGGTGCTGCGTTCCTTAACATGTTTAGCAAAAATGAATCCCTGTCTATTTTAGGATGGAAAAGTTGTTACTAAAACAAATATGGGGAACATGAACCATTCAGAACTAGCCTAAAATAGGGAAATATTAGACTTCTTTATGAAAGTGGCTCTCATGTCTAAAATTGTGAGTAACTCCATGTGACTTTATGTGCATCAAGCAATGAGAAGTGTAATGCTTTTGTGTATTCATTCTTGAGCTGCCTTTTTTTTCCTCCCCCTTGCAGAGTATTTGGTGTTCTGCTCATCTTTGTGGACATTACTCTTGTGATTGTGGACCTAGCTATTAGTGACAAGAAAAGGAGCATGAGAGACACCCTTGAAGGCATTTCCTTGGCAATAGCACTCTTCTTTCTCGTGGATGTTCTTTTGCGAGTATTTGTTGAGGGGTAAGGTTAATGTCCAAGGGCCTGAAAGGTCAGCAAAATGTTTGAGTAAAGACACTTCAAAAATGCATGCTGACTTCAAAAGAATCTGCAGTGCACAGTGGATATGTGAGATCTGACTCTGAATTGACTTACCAGTATAGCTATTCTGGACTCAGTGTGAGACCAGAATCAGTCCTGGGAAATTGCCAGTGTTAGGGAGAAGCACTGGGAATGCACAATGAATGAAATGACTAGCATGTTTTTTAGTCATGGGTTTGTACATGTACCTAGGAAGCACTTCTCATGAATACCCAAAGCCTGACTTTAAGCTTTGGGGCTGGGATGGTCTGTCTTCTCTGTGTACTATTAGTAGCACAATGGAGCTTAATTCAATGACTAAGGCTTCTGGGTGCTATTGTAGTAAAATAATAATTCAGTCTCTGTGCAGAATATTTAAATCTTTTTAAAATGCATGAGACTATACCAGTGCTATGCTGCATGAGGCTAACAGAAGATGGTCCCAAATGTACAGGAATTACAAACTGCTCTGGCTGTCCAAAAGAGTTGTACCACACTGCAGCAGCGTACTCAGTAGTGTGTGGGCTGGCTAATTTTGGTAGGCTTAATACAGTGGTCTCCAACCTTTTTACACTCAAGATCACTTTTTAAGTCTCAGAACAGGTGAAGATCTACCATCCCACCCCTTCCTTGAAGCCCCGCCCTCTCTATTCTCCTGTCCTATGCAGTATATAAAATTAAAATCATGTTTCTAGTTATGAAATAAATGGTCTGTTTTTAATTCATGCTATTTAAATGTCAAATGAAGCATTTACAATTATACATTTTGTTCTCTGCTATTTTGTAAATCTAAAATCAAGTATTGATAATTATATATTTTTTCTTCCAATAACAAAGTCTCAGTGTGACACCTGTGACTGATCAGTATCTGCTAGTGTCTTGAAGTCTGGGTTGTAGTCTGAGATTGCTAGTCGTATACAGTCCATCAGATGGGAATCTGTGATCCTGCGCTCAGCCTGGGAAGCTTGCTCCAGCACAGCTGGAGCTAGACGCAGCCTCCCTGGGCTGAAATGCAGGGCAACGGGGCTGGAGGGAAGAGAAGTGGGTGCCCGGCCAGCTGGCCATGGCGCGGAGCACAGGGCCAGCCAGAGTGGAGGGAAGAGAAGTGGCTGCCCGGCCAGCTGGCCATGGCGCTCAGTCAGGGTGCACCAAGTTCCACGTGGGCAAGCACAGAGGAGAAGCCGCCGAGCAGCTGGAGCGCAGCAGCCTCTTTCAGCTGAAAGCCACAGTCAGCTTGCTGGGGTGTTTCAGCCCTCCCAACATCTCAGCTTCCACCATTCCTCACAGCTACTCACCTGTGTTGTTGCTCGGTGAGTAGCTGCTCCTCAAATGAGGAAATCTAATGTAAATGTACTGCACAGGCGCGCAGTTCAGAGAGGGCTCAAGAGCTACTCTTAGAGCCCCTGAGATCTACCAGTAGATCGCGATCTACTGGTTGGTGACCACGGGCTTAATAGGAAGAGTACTGAAGTTGGGACTGCAACCAAAAGGGTTGAAGGGAATTATTTTAAATCTCCCTTTTTAAACTGGTTTATACAGGCATGTCTAGACTTGCTTTCACTTTTGAAAAGATATGCAAATCATGTCAAATTTGCATATCTTCCAATAGCTTTTTCGGAAGAGGGTCTTTTGGGGAAAAAAGTAGTCTAGACGCGTTTTTTTTTTAAAGAGGTTTACATGGATATTTCAAAAAAGTTTTTCCCCTTGAAAGAACCGTGTCTAGACAATTTTGTTTTTTCGAAAGAACCTCTTTCAAAAAAGCGATCCGAAGAAGACATGCAAATTCACGCTGAATTTGCATATCTTCTTTCGAAAGTGAAAGGCAGTCTAGATGTGCTCTGAGTTAGTATTAAGTGGAATCAGGTTTGGAAAGGACTCACTTTTACCCCTATTGGAGTGGCAAATAGATGAATTGAGGACAAATTCATCCATGAGCAGTGCTTTGTAACGTCGTAGAATGTACACTCTAGTCTACTTCTCTTGCTCTTCTTAGATATCACCTCTTAACTTTGCCTCTGCTTCCCTCTTTTTATTTCAGCTTCAACAATTATTTCAGGTCCAAACTGAACATTTTAGATGCTGTGATTGTTGTGGGCACCCTGTTGATTAATATGGTATATTCGTTCTCTGACTTCAGTGGTGCGGACAAGATCCCAAGGTAAGGAATGTGTGTGTCGCACTGTTCTAGGCAAGTCAATGTTACCTCCTTTCCTCTACAAATCCTTCTCATGCTTGCTAGTGTCAAGTGCTTCAGGATTCTTCCCCTATACTGCTTTCAAAAACCAGAATCCCTAAATGTCTAGAAAATGTTAAATCACTTGGTCTCTACCAAGCTCTTTTACAGTGAGAATTTGCTGAATAGAACCTATAAAGATTTCTTTGCTGGGAGTCGGAGGGTTTTGAAGAGCACAGATGTTATGTAGTACCAGAAGAAAGCAATTTTTAATGCATGCTATACCTTACACATAGTGGTGTGTGGATTACATACACTGCGTGCCCAGTTAACATAGGTGCATACGTATAACAGAGTAGAAGATATTCACCTAAGCTGTGGCTAGAGATGATTGGGGTGCACTGATATATATTGTATAGTTCTCTACACAAACAAACAGTGCCTTTCATGTCTACATTGCTGCTTTTAGCAGAGTAGTGATCCACTGCATTAGCCTTTCCCTATCACAATAAAGTGCTCAGTGGTGGTGAAAGGCTTTTGAAGTAGTGAGGCAGTGGAACCTTTCCCTTTGGCATGTAGCTAAAATTCCATGCACTCTTCCTGATTCTGTAAGTGTAGACTTACTCAGCAAAATTTGTCTTGGTAAATGGCAGAAACCAGAACTACTATTGTAAACTGAAAACTAAAGCAAAATTAAAAGAAGCAGGAATCCATCCTTCCTCCTGACTCTTTGGAAACCTCATGTTTACAAGTGATATTAGAATAAGTGTGTGATCATACTTGGCAGATCTGAAAACTTCATCTGAAAGTAGAACACTTCCAGCTACAGCTGGCTGAGGATTTTTGTTGAAAAATTCAGACACTAACAATTTGTGGCAGAAGGTCAGTTTCAGTGACATGTTTGTTGGAAAGGTTTCTCAGGGTCAGTGGGAACAGGGAAGAAAATTCTTCTTCTTCGTATACAGTAAATATTCACTGGGCCAGATAAACCTGCTTTGTAGGCCAATAGTTGAGGGCCTTGCTTCTGATGTGGGAAATGCAGATTCAAGTCTTGTTCCACTTCAGGCAGACAGGAACTTGAACGTGGGTCCCATATCCTAAATGAGTGCCCTAACAATTGGGCTATTGGTTAGGTTAATGGTACTCAAACTTTCACAAGCCAAGGACCCCTATCTTGATTTAAATATTTTTGAGAACCTGCTACTATTCCCCCCCCCCCTTTTTTTTTGCTCCAGTTGGAGCTGCAAGTTGTAGAATGGGATCAGGGATGAGGCCCATGATAGGGATGTGAACAGCTAGTTGATTATCTGATAAACAAATGCTTATCAGATAGTTGACACTAGTCACTCCCTCCACTTGCCTCTAAGAGGCAGCAAAGGGGTGGCGGGAAATAGAAAGGGATGCTTCAAAGCAGCAGTGCTGCATGGAGCCCAGGGTCAGCTGGGGACTCCCCCATTGACCCTCGCTCTGTGCCACTCTGCCGCTTTGAAATGCTGCAAGGAGCAGTCTTTAAAGGCTCTGTGCCCACTTGCTCCAGTTGGAGCTGCAAGTTGTAGAATGGGATCAGGGATGAGGCCCATGATAGGGATGTGAACAGTTAGTTGATTATCTGATAAACAAATGCTTATCAGATAGTTGACACTAGTCACTCCCTCCACTTGCCTCTAAGAGGCAGCAAAGGGGTGGCGGGAAATAGAAAGGGATGCTTCAAAGCAGCAGTGCTGCATGGAGCCCAGGGTCAGCTGGGGACTCCCCCATTGACCCTCGCTCTGTGCCGCACTGCCGCTTTGAAATGCTGCAAGGAGCATGGGGCCAGTGGGGGACTGTTTGAGTCCCCTGCTGGCCCCATGCTCCCACAGTGTTTACGCCTTTGAAGTGTAGCAAAAGCCCTGCCAAACTTCAGAGGTGAAGCAGCCCTTATCGACTACTCATTTGCAATTTAAATTGACTGTTTTGGGGCAGAGGGTTAAGATTATTTAACTTTGAGAATTGGTGTCCAAATCCCTTGGATGACTGAATTTCAACCTATGGTCTCCAAACAAGTCCTCATGTTACAAAGCTGGCTATACTATGGCTCTTGTGGGAGGAGGGAGCAGCAGGGTGTCTGAGAGCAACCCCACAGGTGACAAACTTGGACTTGTACCTCTCAAGATGAAATCCTATAATTCCCCCACTCTTAGGTTTGCTCTAGACCAGGCATGTCCAAAGTCCGGCCCGCGGGCCAATTGCGGCCCGTGTTCCGGTTTAATACGGCCCCCCAGGTAATTTGGCAATATCTATCTTTTATGGCCCCCAACGAATCCATATGTATTGAGATGAATACATTGTAAAATCTCAGTTAATGTCAGTTGGTCTAAATCAGTTATAAATATATTTGGACACAACATGTATACTTGGTGTTATGTTCCTGTTCATATTTTTTGAACTTAAAAGTTGACAGACAACCTTTATTACCAATAATATGTAATGTACTTTACAATGTTCCTGACATATATTTCAGCTTCCTGGATTTTTTTTCATCTGGCCTTCAGATAACCTGTTTAGATTTGTCATCCATGTGACGAAATGAAAAGTATGCCGTTTGCAATAAACTTTGCATAAAATAGTTAATTTGCATTTAATTTTAATGGTTCAAAGAATGTCAGGCAAAATGGTCGGCTCTCACGCATGTTCACTTCATCAAATCTGGCCCTCTTTGAAAAAAGTTTGGACACCCCTGCTCTAGACCAATGGTTCCCAACTTGTGGTCTGTGGACCCCTGGGGGTCTGCAGTGGTACTGTAGAGGGTCAGCAGAAAGTTAAGGAAAGGTAAAGAAAAGTAAGGGTTGTGCCCACTGCAGGACTGGGATTTTCCGCCAGGCGATTTTCACCCAGGGCTCACCTTTCACTGCTGCACACATGCTGTCTCCAGCCCTTGAGAAGGGATCTTGATATCCCAGGAGGCACCATCCGTCTTCCCACCACCAACTGCGCTGCTGTTTATGCTCCAGCCCTCTCCCCCATCTCAGCCCTGCAGTGGGCCTGATCCTTGCTTTTTCCTTTTTTATCTTTTTCTCTCTCAGGGCTCCATGCCTGGCCAAGGGTGAAGTGCTGGGGCAGGAGCTGTCTTTGGCCTTGAGAGCCCCTCACGTATCCTCTGTAGATGGGATGGAACGGGTGGGAACTGAAAGAGCAGTACGGGCCAAGGGATGTGCTGGCCACTGCTTCCTGACGCTCCCCTGATTTTAACAGATTGAAAAGGGGTCTGTATGCTCAAAGGTTGGGAGCCACTGCTCTAGACTTAGGCTATGTCTACACTGCTCCCGTTTCGCACAAAATATATACAAATGAGGTGAAGTGTGGAATATCGCTGTGCCTCGTGCATAATTAATGCGGCTCCATTTTTGTGCAAGAGGCTTTTGTACAAAAAGAAGCTATCTACGTGGTCCCTTTTGCGCAGAAACTCCCTCATGCGCAAGAGCTGTTCTTCTGCTTTTTTTTTTTCTTTTAAAGGAAGAACGGCTCTTGCGCATGAGGGAGTTTCTGCGCAAAAAGGACCATGTAGATAGCTCCTTTTTGTGCAAGAGGCTTTTGCACAAAAACGGAGCCTCAATTATGCAAATGAGGCAGTGATATTCCACGCTTCACCTCATTTGCACACTTTTTTTGCGCAAAACGGGGCAGTGTAGACATAGCCTTAAAGTATATACCAACATAACTACATTTGTCAGGTGTGGTGTGTGTTGGGCGGGGGGAACTTGCCTGACCAACATGCGCTGCCATCAAAACTCCCAGTGTAAATGCAGATATGCTGATGAAACACTTCTGTTGTCTCCGCTAATATCTCCCCAAATTACGATCTTACGGTGGCAGAAATGCCTGTTGGCCCATGCTGTATCTGTACTAGTGGACTATGGTGGCACAGGTTTTGCACCAGTGGTAGGCGATTTGTAGTCTTATGGGATGCATGCTGCCTATTGAGGGTTCGATGGGTGGCCTGTGAGACATTTTGTTTACCATTGTCCATGTACAGGGTTGCCAAATTCTGCTGGATTCCATCTGTGTGGGTTTTTTTCCCTACTTGTGTGAAAGTGACATACGCATGAAGTGAGAAGCAAGCTTATTGTATACAGCATTGACTGGGAGAGCCATGCGTTCCTTCTGTATCCAGTCAAAGCACTACTACGATTGTCAGCACACTCCACAAATCCTAGGTACACAAGTGCAGTTTGCAGAACTACCTAGTTCTAGGTTGCCCATCGCTGCTCTGTAGCATAGACATAGCTTATGTAAAACTATTTTTCTTATCCACTGAGGGCTATATCAACATACTTATGCCACCATTGGCTCTGTAGTGTAGAAATAATCTAAAATCAGGTCCTTGGGTTATAGACCCTCTATGCACTAACAGTGATTACTTCAGCAGGCCCAACATAGATTCATTATCTGCAATTCTGGCCTTCGGGAGCTGTGACCAGTGGTACGTACAAAGTGACCATGCAGCCTTTTCCAAAACAAGGTATCGTAACTGAACACCTCTAGTGTAAGAATAAGGATTTTAAAACAATAGAAAAGTCTATAGCACTCTAAAGCAGGGGGTTCTCAAACTACATGGCACCATCACTCCTTTCTGATGACAGATTACTAAATGACCCCAGGAAGGGAGGTGGGGCAGGAGCCCTTGGGCTTTGGTCTGGGCTCCCCAACAAGTCTAAGCTAGCCCTGGAAATCCCATTTTAAAATGGGGTCCTGACCTGCAGTTTGAGAACTACTTCTCAAGAGCTTAATGTTTCTCTCCCTATGTTAGCAAACTAGGCCCATCTTCAAGCTTTTTGCAGAGCTTTTTTTTTGTTAACCTGTTTCTCCCACCAGCCCTGGATAACTGACTTTCCCACTCCCAGAAAGATACTTCACCTGATTAGTGCTGGTCTACTTGTAAAACTTAATTGAAATAGCTGTGTGTAGTGTAGCTATTCCTGCATCAATCCCAAGAGATGAGACCAGAT